AAGGTGACAGTGGCCTGGGTGTCACCTGGGTGTGGGCGGTGCAGGCGTAGCGCTTGAGGTGGCCGAAGTCGCAGGTGGTGTCCTCCAGGCAGAAGCTGGCCTTGTGTCCCTCGGCCACGCGGCGCCCCGAGGTGACGTCCAGCAGGTCGTAGTGGCTGAACTCCGCCATGCTGTGGTAGTGCCTGGGGACACCGCGGGGACATTGGGGACAGCGCGGGGACAGCACGGGGACAGCGTGGGGACATTGGGGACAGCACAGGGACACCGTGGGGACATTGGGGACACAATGGGGACACAATGGGGACAGTGTGGGGACATGGGGACACCACAGGGACACCATGGGGACATTGGGGACATCATGGGGACAGTGTGGGGCCATTAGAGACACAATGGGGACAGCACAGGGACACCGTGGGGACATTGGGGACAGCACAGGGACACCGTGGGGACGTTGGGGACACAATGGGGACACAATGGGGACACAATGGGGACAGCATGGGGACAGCGCAGGGACACCATGGGGACAATGGGGACAGTGTGGGGACACACTGGGGACAGCGCGAGGACATTGGGGACATCATGGGCACAGTGTGGGGACAGCATGGGGACATTGGGGACAGGGTGGGGACAGTGTGGGGACAGTGTGGGGACACCACAGGGACATTGTGGGGACACCATGGGGACACCACGGGGACACCGTGGGCAAACGTGGGGACATTGGGAGGACACTGTGGGGACATGCTGGGGACATGGGGACACAATGGGGACACCAGGGGGACACCATGGTGACACCGTGGGGACACTGCAGGGACATGGGGGCACCAGGGACACATGGGGGACATTCAAGGGGACACTCAGGGGACATCACGATGGGGAGGGGATTTCAGTGCCAGGGCACAGCAGGTGGCAGCTCCCGCCTTGGGGACATTGTGGCAGTGAGGGGACACCAGGCACAGGAGCGCGGTGGCCTTGGGGACATCAATTCCAGGAGCGTGGTGGCCTTGGGGACAAAGAGGTGACACCAAGCCCACGGAGACCTCAAAGCAACGTCACCCCTCAGGCGTTACCAGGGCGGGGGGAACAGGGCTGGGGACACTCCGTGGTGGCAGCTGTGCCACTGCCACCATCGTGGTGGCCTTGGGGACAAAGAGCCCGAGGAAGAGTCCAAAATGAAGCCACCAAACGAGGAAATGTCACCAAAATGTCACCAAAATGCCACTGAAATGTCACCGAAATGTCACCGAAACCCCTGGAGCTGCCACCAGGCTGGTGCTAGCATCGGGGAGAGCTGGGGACAGGGCTGGGGACACTCCGTGGTGGCAGCTGTGACACTGACACCATCATGGTGGCCTTGGGGACAAAGAGCCCAAGGAAGGTGACACCAACCCCAAGGAGACCTCAAAGCAACGTCACCAAACGGGGAAATGGCACCCGAGAGGCGCCACCGGTGGGAGGGGACAGGGCTGGGGACATCAGGGGACAGCAGGGGACATTGAGTGACACTGGGGACATCAGGGGACATCGGGAGACATGAGGGGACATGAGGGGACATCAGGTGACATCAGGTGATGTCAGGTGATGTCAGGTGACATCAGTGACATCAGGGGACAGCGGGGGACAGCGGGGGACAGCGGGGGACATCAGGTGACATTGGGGGACATCAGTGACATCAGGTGACATCAGGTGACACCAGGGGACACTGGGTGATACTGGGTGACATCAGGTGATATCAGGTGATATCAGGGGACATCAGAGGACACCAGGCGACATCAGGTGACACAAGGTGACATCAGGTGACATTAGGTGACATGAGGTGACATCAGGTGACACAAGGTGACATCAGGGACACCAGGGGACATCAGGGGACACTCACTGGTGGCAGCTGTGCCACTGCCAGCTGTGGCGGGGCTGGCTGGGCAGGAAGTCGGCCGTGCCCTGGTTCTTGACGCGCTGCGGGAAGCGCAGCAGCACCCGCACGTCGTAGTCGGTGGCCTCGGCCGCGTACGCCGTGCTGGGGACAGCGGGGACACTTCTCCCTCGTCCCATTTTTCCCGTTATCCCCATTTTCCCTCATCCCAGGATTCCCCTCCTTCCCAAATTATCCCCATTCCCAGCCCATCCCGCTCCCCTCCTCCCCACAGCCCCTCTCCCTCCCCCCTCTCCTCCCCACATCCTCCAATCCCAGAGCACTCCCGTTCCCGGGAATCCTTCCTCTCCCGTTCCTGGGAATCCTTCCTCTCCCGTTCCCGGGAATCCTTCCTCTCCCGTTCCCGGGAACCATCCCTCTCCCATTCCTGAGAATCGTCACTCTCTCATTCCTGGGAAACCTGTCTCTCCTGTTTCTGGGAATTCCATCTCTCTCCCATTCCCGGGTTTCTCCCATTCCCAGGATCCCATCTTTCCTATTCCCGGGTCTCTCCCATTCCCGGGAATCCCCTCTCTCCCACTCCTGGGTCTCTCTCATTCCCAGGTCTCTCCCACTCCCGGGTCTCTGCCATTCCCTGGAATCCTCTCTCTCCATTCCCGGGTCTTTCCCATTCCTGAGTTTCTCCCATTCCCGGGATCCCATCTCTCCCATTCCCAGGTCTCTCAATTCCAGGGTCTCTCCCATTACTGGGTCTCTGCCATTCCCTGGAATCCTCTCTCTCCATTTCCAGGTCTCTCCATTCCCGGGATCCCATCTCTCCATTCCCAGGTTTCTCTCCTTTCCCGGGATCCCATCTCATTCCCGGGAATCCCCTCTCTCCCATTCCCAGGTCTCTCCCATTCATTCCCGGGAATCCCACCTGGCCAGGCACTTCTCCTCGGCGGCGCAGCGCAGCGAGTACAGGTGAGCCCTCTGCACGTACGTGGAGGCCTGGACATAGTTGGGATCCGGGATCAGATCCGGGAGACCTGCCGGGAAAACGGGAATGCGGATTGGGAACAGGGATTGGGAACATCCGGGATCAGATCCGGGAAACCTGCCGGGAAAATGGGAACAGGGATTGGGGACACAGATCCTGGAGGCCTGGACATTTGGGATCTGGGATCTGATCCAAGAGACCTGCCAGGAAAACTGGGATATCCACTGGGGACAGGGAATTGGGACATCCGGGATCAGAACCAGGAAACCACCGGGAAAATGGGAATGGGGATTGGGGACAGGAATTGGGAACATCTGGGGTTGGATCCGGGAAACCTGCCAGGAAAACAGGAATGGGGACTGGGGACATCTGGGATCAGATCCAGGAAACTTGTTGGGAAAACGGGAACAGGGATTGGGGGCACAGATCCTGGAGGCCTGGACATTTGGGATCTGGGATCAGATTCAGGAGACCTGCTGGGAAAACGGGAACAGGGATTTGGAACAGGGATTGGAGACAGGGATTGGAGACAAGGCCATCCCTTGGGATTGGGGACCCAGCTCCGGGAGGCCCGGGTGGATTTGGGATTTGGGAATGTCGGTGGGATTGCTCCCGTGGTTCCTTTTCCCGCCAGCCCGAAGGGGAAGTTTCGGGTCCCAAATCCCACCAGGTTTTCCCAATTTCCAGCTGGAAAATCCACCCTTCCCTCCCCTCCTCCCCGCGGCCCCTCTGGCAGATCCCAATCCCGCGTTTCTCGCCAGCGGGATCGCTCCGGCCGCTCCCCTGGAGCCGTTCTCTGTTCCCCCCTGGAATAGCAGGAGCCCAATTCCCTGTTTTCCACCCAGAAACGGGGGAAAAGCTGGGTTATCCCTGCCTTTATCCCTCCTTTCCTTAAATTCCAGACAGTTCCAGACAATTCCCTGGGATTGGGGAGAGCTGGGATGGACAGAGGGACGCAGGGACAGGCAGAGCTGCCTTGGTTTCCCAAATTTATGGAGCTCCGGCTGGAGCTGGAATTCCGCCCCTTCCGCGCCTCCCCTTCCCAAAGGCTCCTCCAGCACCTGGAATTGTTCTGGAATCAGCCCCTCGGGAAGGATCACGATGGGGGGACACTGCCCAGGCGCTCTGTGCCTCAGTTTCCCTTCTCCCTGTCCCGTCTCCGTCCCATTTCCATCCCCATCCTTATCCCATTCCCACCCCATTCCCATAACCTTTATCCCTATCCCCATTCCCATTCCCATCCCCATCCTTCTGCCCCCCTATCCCCATTCCCATCTCTATCCCTGATCTCATGCAAATAATCTCCATTCCTATCCCTCCTCCCATCCCATTCCCAAAATCCCCATCCCCATTCCCATTTCCCATCCCCTTCCTAAAACCCTCATTCCCAAAATCCTCATTCCCATCCTCTCCCCATTCCCAAAATCCCCCTCCCCAGCCCCATTCCCACCATCCCTATCCCATTCCCAACTCCCTTCGCACCCCCACCAGGATCCCCCGTCTTCCCTGAGGTGCCATTTCCCAGCCCAATTCCCTGTTTTTCCCTGGATTTCCCCCCAGTTTTCCCAGTTTTTCCCTGTTTTTCCCCGGATTTCCCCCCAGTTTTCCCAGTTTTTCCCTGTTTTTCCCCGGATTTCTCCCATTTTTCTCGTTTTTTCCCTGGAAAGGAGAACAATGCCTCCTTGTTCCTGGGCCTGCCTTCCCGGGAGGGATCACGTCATTCCTTTGGAGTTCATTTCCTGCCCCATTCCCACTGATGTAATTCCCGAGGGGACCCCCAAAAAAATAATAAAAATAATAATAATAAAAAAAAAGAGCCAGGAGAACTCAGAAAAAATTCCATAAAAAAATTAAAAAAAAAAAACAAAACACCAAAAAACCCATGGAAAACCACCCCAAGCCAGCGGAACGTTTTCCATCTTTTTTAGGAGCTTTTTTCCCCTCCCTGCTGTTGTTTGTAAGGAATTCTTGGAAGCTCCGGAGCGAAATCCGACTCCCGGACCGATGGGGAGTTTTATGGGATTTGGGATTTTCCCCTTTCTCCCGCTGGATTTTGCCCCTGGGATGGCCCCGTTGTTTTTATAGGATCTCGTGGGGTCAAGCCTATGGAATTCCTGGGATGTCGGGATCCGGGATTGCCCCCAAACCCATCCCAAATTCCTGGGGGTGTTACTGAGCCTGCATTTTCCCATTTCCCAAAAAATTCCAGGGACAATCCCAGCAGGAAAAGGTTGGGATTTCCCGTCCGGCCACCCTGGGAGCTGCCAGGGGAGATTTCCGTCTGTTCCCGGGGAAAATCAGGATAATCAGCCCCTGGCTGTGCCAGGATCAGCAGGAAAATCCCACTGGGAGTGATGGAAAAGCGGGAACGGGGGAGGTCGCGAGCAGAGGGAACGGGAACGGGGACAGCCGGAGCAGCCGACAGGATTCCGGCATCCCATCGATCCAATCCCAATCCCAATTCCATTCCCAATCCCAATCCCATCCCATCGATCCCATCCCAATCCCAATTCCATTCCCAATCCCAATCCCATCCCATCGATCCCATCCCAATCCCAATTCCATTCCCAATCCCAATCCCATCCCATTGATCCAATCCCAATTCCATTCCCAATCCCAATCCCATCCCATTGATCCAATCCCAATTCCATTCCCAATCCCATCCCAATCCCATCCCATTGATCCCATCCCAATCGCAATTCCATTCACAATCCCATCCCAATCCCAATTCCATTCAAAATCCCAATCCCATCCAATCACAATCCCAATCCTTCCCATCAATCCCAATCCAAATCCCAATCCCATCAATCTCATCCCATCAAATCCTATCCCAATCCCATCAACCCCATCGATCCCATCCAATCCCAATCCCAATCCCATCCCAGTAGAATCCCTCCTCCATCCCCACGGAAACCCGGCATTCCCAGCTCCTGGAATCACCGCAATCCCAAATCCGATCCCACCAAAGGAAGACTTTCCTGGGAATTACGGCATCTCCCGGCCCATCCGGGGTCACCCCAACCTCCTGCTCGGTGGGACCCAAATTCCCGGTGCCCCATGGAATTCCCAAATCCCACTTTCCTTCCAAAAGCAGCCCCGGGGGACCCGATCCATGGGGTCGGGGGGAAAATCCCTCCTGGAGATGGGATCAGGGTCAGGATTGGGATGAGGAATCCCTGGAGATGGGATCAGGGTTGGGATCGGGGTCAGGAAGTTTTGGAGATGGGATCTGGGTTGGGATCAGGATGAGGAACCCCTGGAAATGGGATCGGAGTTGGGACCAGAGTAGGGAAAACTTTTGGGATCGGGCCCCCCTTCCCTCCGGCAGCCGCCAGGAGCTGCTCCTCCCCCTCCCAGCCCCGGATCCCGCCTGGAACCTTTCCCAGCCTCTCTTCCCAGATTTCCCCACCCCCACTCCCCCATTCCCACAGAAACCCCGATAATTCCCCGATAAAAACAGCGGGATTGGATTCCTTCATTAACCCCCAGCCGGAGGCCGGGAATGCCGAACATTCCTGGCAGATCCGGCCGGGATTAGGAGGCCCCCGAGGAGCTTTGCCCTCGGAATTAATTGTTAATAATTAATAATTAACAATTAACACCAGATTCGGGGGGACACCAGGAATCATTTGCTCCAATTAGGATCCCTGGGAAGTGACGGGGAGGTGACAACATTCCCAAAACACCGCGAGTGACCCGGAGAGAGGCCGGAATTTCACGGGATCAGCTTGATTCCCTTGAAATTTCTCCAGGAAAAGCAGGAAGCTCCGGGAGCTGAGTGTCCCGAATTCCCTGGCGGAGCCACCGGTGCCTCCCGGCTCCCAGGGATCCTGGAAGGACTCGGATGCTGCCAGCAGGGAATTTGGCCAGGATCTTTCCTGGGGAATTTGGCCAGGATCTTTCCCGGGGAATTTGGCCGGGATCTTTCCTGGGGAATTTGGCTGGGATCTTTGCCGGGTCATCGGCAGGGCAGCTGTCCTCGGGTGTCCCTCCAGAGCCTCTGGAATTCCAGCATTCCCAAAATCCCTCATATCCTTCACTCCCCATGCCCCATTCCCACCTTCTCCTGAGATCCCAAAAAACGCCATTCCCGAGTTTTTCCTGGAGTGTTCCCTCCCTGTCCGTGTAGGGCAGGGCCGGGCCCTTCCCACAGCCCCAAATCCTTCGGGATGGGCTTTTCCCAGAAAACTGTGATGGGGCTGGAGGGGTCACGGGGTCAGGCTGGGATGGGATTCCCGAGGGATGGGCTGGGAGCGGCTCCCAAGCTCTTCCAGCTCCAGCATGGAGCCAAAACTCTTGGAAACTCAGCCCAAAAAATCCACGGGATTTCATCGGGATGGGCAAGGAGTGACCCCAGAGTGACCTCGGGAATGGGGGGGAGCACGGACCTGGCTGTCCAGGAATGGTCGGGATAACAGGGATCCATTCCTGTCCTATCCCAAACACATCACAGAAAACTGGGATCCATTCCTGTCCTATCCTGATTTGATCCCAATCCAGGGACACCCTATGGATGTGGGAGGAGCTGGGACACGGCACAACCCCATCCCAAAATTATGGAATTTCCCGGGACAGACCCCAGGAATGCCTTGGGACACGTCCCAGCCCCATTCCACAAATTTGGGATACCCTGGAATACGCAGCACCGCCCTATCCCAAAATCCCGGGATGATCTCAGACGTGACCCAATCCCAACCTCCCTTCCCGTTCCCACCATTCCCAAAACCTGCGGGGTCTCCAAGAATCTTCATCCCCGGAGCGAATCCCTGGAATCCCGCCCATCCCAAGGAAATTCCAAGGGAATCCCAAACTCACCCCGCGCTCCGAGGCTGGGCCTGTAGACGCTGCCCACGCTGAGCCGGGCTTGGCTGTCGGGAACCGCCTGCAGAATTTCGGGGCTCCGGCCGGGAACAAAGGGCTCGGGATGGGCAATCCCGAAGGATTCAGCTGCTCGGAACGGCGGCTGCCGCTGGTGGGGTGGGAATTGCGCCCCAAAGCCCAGGTTTTCCGTGGAGGCCATCCCGGTTTGCGGCTCGGAGTCGTGGTACAAACTGTGGGAATAGCGGCGATCCAGCGGGAAGCCGGCGGCTCCGTAGGGATTGGCCTCATCCCCGAAATCCTCGGCGAGCGCGTGGGGTTGGAGCGGGAACATCATCCCTGTCCCCATTCTGTTCCCCATCCCTGTCCCTGTCTCCATCCCATTCCCCATCCCATTCTCAATCGCTGTTCCCATCCCGTTCCCCATCCCTGTCCCTGTCCCTGTCCCCATCCCTGTCCCTGTCCCCATCCCTGTCCTTGTCCCCATCCCGTTCCCCATCGCTGTTTCCATCCCTGGCCCCATCCCCATTCCTGTGTCCATCCCAGTTCCCATTCCTGTCCCCGTCCCCATCCCTGGCCCCGCTGCCCCCGCGCCCCGCGACACCAGGACCCCCTCGTGCGGTGCCACCCCCGCGGCGACACCGGCGTGCGTTTGTCCCGCCGAGGCCACCGCGAACGCGGCCGCGGCCACCCCGGCCGTGCCCTGCCGGCCCCTCCCCGCCTGTCGCCGCTGTCCCCAGCCGCTGTCGCCCCTGGGGCCGTCCCGCCAGTTGGGCGGCACCTGCCCGAAGCCGAAAGGATGTCGCGCTTGTCCCCGCACTGTCCCCGAGGCCTGGCGGCGCACGCTGCCCGCTGGCCCCGCCGCCGGCCCCGCTAGCCACAGCCGGTTGCCCGCGGGCCGCTCCTGCCCGGCGGGCACGAATTCGGCGCCGCTGTTGAGGAGGCTGAAGAGGCGCCCGTTGTTCTCCCACTGGATCAGCTGCCGCCAGGGCTCCTGCGCGCCCGCCGGCTCCAGCAGCAGCTCCGGCTCCAGCAGCAGCAGCAGCAGCAGCAGCGGCCCGGCCCAGAGCGGCCCTCGCCGCCCCAGCCCCGCCGGCATCGCCGCCGCTCCGCCCGGGGCCGCTCTCGGTGCCCGGGGCCGCTCTCGGTGTCCGGGGCCACTCTCGGTGCCCGGAGCCGCTCCCGGTGCCGCTCTCGGTGCCCGGAGCCGCTCTCGGTGCCGCTCTTGGTGCCCGGGACCACTCTGGGTGTCCGGGGCCACTCTCGGTGCCCGGAGCCGCTCCCGGTGCCGCTCTCGGTGCCCGGGGCCGCTCTCGGTGTCCGGGGCCGCTCCCGGTGCCGCTCTCGGTGCCCGGGGCCGCTCCCGGTGCCGCTCTCGGTGCCTGTGTCGCCCCCCGGGCCCGACCCGCTGGGAGCGCGCCCGGAGCGCGGGGCCGGCAGCGCCTCCGCCGCTTTCTCCTCCTCCGCCTTTTCCTCCTCCTTTTCCTTCTCCTCCTCCTCTTTTTCCTTCTCCTCCTCCTCCTCCTCTTTTTACTCCTTCTCCTTCTCCTCCTCTTTTTCCTTCTCCTCCTCCTCCTTTTCCTCCTCCTCCTCCTTTTACTCCTTTTCCTCCCCCGCCTCTTTTCCCTTCTCCTCCTCCTCCTCCTCCTTTAACTTCTCCTCCTACTTTTCTTTCTCCTCCTTCTCCTCCTCCGCCTTTTCCTCCTCCTTTTCCTTCTCCTCTGCCTCTTTTTCCTTCTCATCCTCTTCCTTTTACTCCTTTTCCCTCTCCTCTTTTTCCTCCTCCTCCTCCTCTCTTCCTCCTCCTCTTTTCCCTTTTCCTCCTTTCCCGATCTTTGCTCCCTCCTCTTCCTCCTCCTCCTCCAGGAGGTCCCCGAAGTTCGCCTGGAATTCTCTCCAAGGATTCTCTCCCAGAGCGGATCCCGAACTCCGGGAGAAGGCCGGAAGTGCATCCAGGCGGGAAAAAAAAACCAACCCAAAACCTTGGAATTCCCGACTTTCCACCATTTTTTATTTTTATTTTATTTTATTTTATTTTATTTTATTTTATTTTATTTTATTTTAATTTATTTTATTTTAATTTTTATTTTTATTTTATTTTTATTTAAAAAAACAACCCTGGGATGAAACTCCTCGGGATTCACTCCCGGGAAGCAATTCCAGATGGGATCCTGCCCTCCAGGAGAAGGCGGGAATTGCATCCAGGTGGGATGGGAAAACAAAAAAACAAACAACAAAAAAAGTGGAATTTCCCATTTTCCCCCTTTTTTAGGATCCCTTTTCCCCTGGAATTCCCGATTTTACCGGGATCAGGCTCTGGAAAAGCCCCTTCATTCTCCAGAGCTTCCCAAAGGAAAACTGTGCCGCTCCCTTCCCAAAAAATGGGATTTTCTCCTAGGTTTTACCTGGATCCATTTCCCCTGGATTTGAAATCCCGAGTTCTGGCGGAAAACACCTGGAATTGATCGGGAATTTGGCTGGAAGCTCCTATTTGATTTTTTGGGATATTGAACAGAAAAGTGGGATCCCCAAATCCCAAAACCCTCTGGATCCCCCAGGAATTCCCGGCTTTTCCCCTCTGGGAATGCCGGAGTTGATGGAGCTGGGTGGGATGGAAATCCAGGATAATTCCCAAATCCCAAATCCCAGATCCCGCAGCCGGAGTGGGGGATGGCACTGGGATGTCCCCTCTGGATCCCATGGATGGGAATTTGGGGATTTTTGGGATTTAGAGATTTAGGGAAAGTTTGGGAAGGACCGGGGGGGTGGTTTCCATGGGGTTGGGAATTCCGGGGGCGACACATGGGGCCCGGCCTGAATCCCCAAATCCTGAATTCCCAAATGCCAAATCCCAAACACCCAAATTCTGGATCCCAAATCCCAGGTGTCAAACCCCAGGCCTCCAATCCCAAATCCCAGATCCCAAATGGCCAAATTCCAAATCCCAAACCCCGAATCCCAAATCCCAAACTCCAAATCCCCTAATCCCAAACCCCGAATCCCATATCCCCAAATCCCAAACCCTGAATTCCATATCCCAAATCCCAAACCCCAGATCTCAGATCCCGGATCCCTAATCCCAAATCCTGGATCTCAAACTCCAAATCCCAAATCCCAAACCCTGAATCCCAAATCCCAAACAATCAAATTCTGGACCCCAAATCCCGGGTCTCAAACCCCAGACCCCAAATGCCGGATCCCAAATCCCCAAATCCCAAACTCCAAACCCCAAATCCCAAACCCCAGATCCAAAATCCCAAATCCTGGATCTCAAACTCTAAATCCCAAATCTCAAATCCCGGATCCTAAATCCCAGACCCCAAACCCCAAATCCCGGATCCTAAATCCGAGGTCCCAAACCCGAAATCCCAGATCTCAAACTCCAAATCCCAAATTTCAAATCCCAGACCCCAAATCCCAAATCCCATATCCCGGATCCTAAATCCCAGACCCTGAATCCTCAATCCTAAACCCTGAATCCCAAATCTAAAATCCCAGATCCCAAACCCCAGATCCTAAATCCCAAATCCGAAACCCCAAATCCCAAAATCCCGGATCCCAAACCCTGAATCCCAAATCCCGGCGCTCCCCAATTCCTGGCTGTCCCCGCCGCCAGGGGGCGCCAGCAGCCCGCGCTGGAACAGCCAATCCTGGGGAAAAAACCGGGAATTTTGGGATCGGGATTTCGCCAGGGAACCCCAAATCCCGGCTGGAATTCCAGGTGGGAATTCCACGATATTCCAAAGGGTTCCAGTGCTGGGATCCGGAAGGTTCCGGTGCCAGGATCAGGACAAGGATCCCGATCCCAACATCTGGGCGGGGGAAATTCCCAAATCCAGGGGATCCAGAGGTATCTGATCCCAACAGCTGGAAAGAACAAATCCCATTATCCAGAGGATTCCAGAAAATCCCAATCCCAACACCTGGACAAAAAAAAAAATCCCAAATCCAGAGGCTCCAGAAGATTTCCATGGGATTCTCCCACTGGATCAGCCTTTTCCTGGATGGATTCAGGCCGCAGGAAAGGCAGGAATGGGAATGAATCCCTGAAAACCCGGATGCTCCGGGAAGACGGGAATTCCCTCCTGCTGGAATCAGGGCCAGAGGGAGTCCAAAATCCACGGAATTTTCCCCCCAAATCGGGAATTTTATCAGGAAAATATGATCCAGGATGGGATTTTTTGGGGTTTCTTTTTGCAGCTCCATCCCAAAGCCCCCAAATCCCAAATTCTGGAGCATCCCAGAATTCCCAAGAGCAGCCGGAAAAAATCTGGAGCAATTCCAGATTTTCCGCAGAGTTGGATCCAACTGATTCCGGATTTAAAATCCCGGGAAAAGCAGGAATGGGGAAAAGCTGGAAAACTGCCTGACATTCCCATCAAAATAATGAAGGGAATGGGGAAAAAATGGGAAAAATCAGGATTGGTTTGGGAATTTGAGCTGGGGGGGGACCCTCCCAGGGAATCCTGGATCAGCCTGGAAAAACATGGGAATAATTCCCTGAGGGAAGAAAATTCCCAGGGATCAAATTCCCTTATTTTTCCTCATGGAAATCCACTCCCTGTGGGTTTTCCCTGGGGAAAATTCCCAATAAAATAAAATTCCAATAAAAACCGAGGTTTTCTGCCTGGATCCCGGAAGGGTTGTTTGGGAAGTGTTCCCAGTCCGAGGATTTTGGAGGGATTTTTATCCACCTGAGGCTGGACTGAAATTCCCTGGATTTGGAATTTGGATTCTTGGATTGGGAGGTGGAAAAGCAGGATCTGGGAGGGGTCAGAATTCCTTTGGATCCTCCACTGGGGTTTCTCCTCTTCCTGAAATCATTCCATGGATTTTTATCCCTGGATCTGCATCTCCATTCTTCCAGGAAATTCCCTGTCCTGGAATCCCGGCAGATATTTGGGATGAGAAAACAGAATTCACTTCCCGGGATGTCCCAGATTCCAGCCGGGAATTCCAACCCTCCCCAGGGCCTGACATTACCCCGGAAAAGGCAATTCCAAGAAAACCGTGGAGTCTGGAAAAGGCAATTCCAAGGAATCCGTGGAGTCTGGGAAGGCTCAACGGCAATCCCGCCATTCCAGGAGCAGGATATTTTTGGGAATCAGGAGAGTGGGGCCATGACCAAGAGGGTGCTGGGGGGGTTTGAGAATTCCCAGTGGGAGGAAAAAGTCTTGGAATGTGCAGGGATCAGACACAGCCCCAGTGCCAGCTGGATGGATTTTTCCAGATGGAAGCTGCATATGGAAGGAATCCCTCCCATCCATCCATCCATTCATGGATCCATCCATCCATCATCCATCCATCCATCATCCATCCATCCATCCATCCATCATCTATCCATCATCCATCCATCCATCCATCCATCATCCATCCATCCATCCATCCATCATC